CTGAACTTTTTTTATATTTTAGTTTTAGTCTAGTTTATTATCTAAATATTTCACTCTGGAATGATCTTTCGCTAACCCCTTAATTTACGTTTAAAAGTTTGTTAATAAAGGTAATTAATAACACTTTTACGTTTTTTCTTTACTCTTAAGAGTGCTCCCGCTATAGTTAAATTTAGTGTCTTCCATCACAATAAAAAATTTATTTCATTATCTCTTTTAATGAACGAGAAGTTTTTTTTGGAAGTTTCATTAACAGCGAAAACTACTCAGTCTACATTTTGTTGAATTTATACCACTAGATTTAGTGTGTTATAAAAACATTTAGGTAAAAAAATTTTTTTAGAAATTTTAAGTAAGATAATTCTTTGAAAATTATTTTTTTTATGAGAGTATCTTTTTATTTAAATAAAAAATCATTTAATCTCTATTATTAAAAGAATAAGAAAAATTTTGTCATCAGTGTATTTATATGGTAAAATCGGTTTTTTTAGGAAAATTTAGTGTCATTGCAAAGGTCTTGATAATAATTTGTGCCTTTTCAAGGTTTTATATTATTGTCATCAATAGTTAATTTATTATGACAAGTTTTTAGGCTGCATTGAAAAATGCTCTCTAGATGCATAATTAAGAAATGACCTTGAACCTTGTGAAACATTGACATTTTTAAAGATATAAGCTCATCCCAATGTTACACTCATCGAGACCTTTCATTTGAGTACCCACATCAATTTTTCATATATTTATATGTTTATATATTCATATATTCATATATTTATATAAATTATATATATGTATATATGAAAAATATATCAAAAATGCATGAAGGTATTCAAATGAAATAAGCTCTTGATAAGTGTAACATCGGAATGAGTTTATATCTTAAAAAATGTCAATAGTTAAAAAAGTACAATGTAAAGAAATGACCTTGTATTTTGTGAACTATTGACATTTTTAAAGATATAAGCTCATCCCGACATTACACTCATCGAGACCTTTCATTTAAGTACCCACATCAATTTTTTATATATTTATATATATATATATGAGAAATATATCAAAATGCATGTGGGTACTCAAATGAAAGCTCTTGATGAGTGTAACATCGGGATGAGCTTATATCTTTAAAAACGTCAATAGTTAAGTAAATACACGGCAATTTAACAAAAGTCATTATTTAATTGACTAAAAATTCATTTATTTACAGTTCATAAGTCACGGCAGTCACATAGTGACTGCAAGGTTGCTAGTTTTATTTCAAGAGTCTAATAAATGATTTAAATTGATCAAGCTTTTCAAAATTATGCTTTTGGTAAAAGAATTTTTTTTTCAAAGCAAATTAATTTTTTTATTGAGATTACTCTTTAAAAATTTCAAGTACTGAAAATGGTTTGAAAACAGTCGAGTTTTTTTTTTCAATTGTTTATACTTTTTTATTTTTATTATTCAATCTTTTCAACTTTTATTAACGATTGAGCTTTTGAGATTCACATTCGAATTATCAAACATTTTCCAGTTAAACTTGAAAAAAAAATTATGCATTCAAAAAATAAACTTAAAAATGCGTAAAAACAGAATTATGAAAAAGAAAAAAGTACTTATATGATGAAAAAAGTACTTGATATCGAGAACCGCGGTAATAATTCAAAACGAGTTTATAAAGAACGTAAGTGGAGAACATATGATAATATTAAAAAAAAAAAAAAACGTCTTTTTTTTTCAGTCCGCAAATGATAAATTTCTAGCGTCAGTAATTGAGATCTACCGGTTGGTTTGCAGAACTTCCTCTGCAGCCTGAAGCATAACTCTCAGAACTTTTTAAAACGTATGGCTGCGGAGCTCAATGGGAAAAAAGAATTTGCGGGTTTGAAAAATCGAATGAATTAAAAATAAAAGTCTAGTCGTTTTATAGTAATGGAAAAAGAAAAAAAAAATATGATAAATTTTTTTTTCTCTTGAAATAAAATGCTTGCGGGATATAAAAAAATATGACATATATTTAGCATGACGTACTATCAGTAATTAACTAAAAATTGTAATACACTTCGCGGATAAGTCTTACGTTAGCAACTTAAGCTTATTTAGACCTAAAAAATATTTTTATTTGTTTACAAAAGTTCTTCTCCTTTTTTTATTTCTCCTTTATCTCCTTTATCTTGCTCAATATTTTTCCGGGAGAAGCATAAGCGTAGGAAAAATGATAAAATTTTCTAGTCCGCGGGGCGCGTCTCTGCTGGCATATTCATGAACCTGGTTAATGCCAGCGGCGAAAAGGTTAAACAGAAAAAATTATTTAATAAAATGTAAATAATGTTTAAAGTTACACGTATGCATTTCTTCTGCACAGAGCTAAGAATAAGTTGAAAAGATAAATTATGCGCCGACCATATTCATGTTTCACGTGCTGGTACATTCTACAGTTGAATTATACATTACAATTAAATATTACATACCCAAAAAAGTACCGCTTTAATGAAATCGAGAATGAATACATTATTAATTTTTTAATTAAAAATTTTTCGCTTTTTTTGTACCAATCTTATACCTCAAAATTGACTCTCCTATAAGGAAACAATTCAACGTCCATACGCCATCTGTGGGATATTTTCTGCACTAATTTTATTGGAAAAAAATTATACTGGAGCATATATCACCATGTTAGGCCTGATATGGGCATATGCACTTATGTCAGAATTTATTAAGCCAAATATGGCATGATATGGATATTACGTAATTTTTATCCTTTAACAATTGGCTATTTTTATGGAATATCTTCAAGAATGTTCAGCTTTTGTACAGGCATACAGGTACACAATTTTAACCATTTTCCGTTGAATGCCGGTCGCTGAGTAGAACCTTACCGTGAATACTCGACAGAGTTTTCAAGAAGACGATGAAGAAAAAAGAGGAGAATACTAAGAAAGTTGGGCTCACAAGAGGAGAACCGATGTTAGGCGGATCTCTGCGTACACAAAACATCTTGCCACATTATTAAATCCAACTGGAGAAGCTTGAAAGGCGCTTCTCTTTAATACACTTTAGTGAAGGGTGCTGGCTAAAAGTACCAATTCCATGGAGGAAGTAAAGAAAAGCTTTCCTAACTTAGTAAAGTTGTAGTGGTGGCTTCTAAGAACATAAAGTTTCCTCTGTTTCTGACGAATACACTCGGCATCTTGCCAACAAATGTTTTGCCTGTTCAAGCTCGCTGCTCTTTAATCCGTCTCTTAACTCATTCTACATTTTATATACAAGAGGTATATCTACAATATAGATTATGTAGCTCTCATTAGTCAATATTAGTATCTAATTGTATGACCTGTTCTATTACAAAACGATTTTTCAGGAATTAATGGCTTTGAAATTAACTAAGATTTAGTGAAGTGTACTTTTTAATAATTCTTTATAAAAGCTATAGTTTAATAAATTCTTAAATTAAGAATTTAACCTTCATTTAAGTAAGGTTGACTTGATTCAAAATTTTTTGTCTTTATTCAAGACAATTTTCACTAATAGTCAATTTATTATGATAAGTATTTAGGCTGCATTCGAAAATTTTTTATCTTTAGCTACATAATTAAGAAATGACCTTGTATCTCGTGAACTATTGACATTTTTAAAGACATAAGCTCATCCCGATGTTACACTCACCAAGAGCTTTCATTTGAGTACCCACATCAATTTTTTTATATATTTATATATATTATATATATGTATATATGAAAAATATATCAAAAATGCATGTGTGTACTCAAATAAAAGCTCTTGATGAGTGTAACATCGGAATGAGCTTATATCTTCAAAAATGTTAATAATTAACAACTGACTTTGTTATCTTGTGAGAACTATTGATATTTTTAAAGATATAAGCTCATCCCGATGTTACACTCATCAAGACCTTTCATTTGAGTACTCACATCAATTTTTCATATATTTTATATTTTATATATATGTATATATGAAAAATATATCAAAATGCATGTGGGTACTCAAATGAAAGGTCTTGATGAGTGTAATGGCAGGGTGAGCTTATATCTTCAAAAATGTCAATAGTTGAACAGTACAGTGCAATTACCAAAAGTCATTACTTAATAAAGCAAAATTTTAATTTTTTATAATTCACAAGTCACGGCTGTCACTATGTGACTGCAAGATTGCTAATACTAATTATAATGTTAATATAAATATAGCTCGATCAGATTATATATTTAACCTCCATCTATTCATAGAAGACATTAAATTTGTTCGAATTGACCCAGTTTATCTAGATTTCAATCCTAGTAAATTTCAAGATAACCGGCGAATATTCAATTGGATGATCTACGAATAAAGTTCATTTTCTACCTTAATTTATTCTTACAACTAAAATAAAAAGTCATGAATTTTATATGCCAAAAAGTTAATTTTGAATCTTGTTGATATAAGATTCAAACCTTTTTACCGTGCATAGTAAAATGAAATAATATATTATTAAAATTCCTGATCAGTTTTCATGCATTATTATTAAGGATATATCGGTGATATGAAGTTTAAATAAATAATTACAGTAAATAAATTGATAATTAATTTTTAATACGGGATCTCTGAATCAAATTTTAATTTTACTTCATTTATTCTTGAAACCTTCATTATCTGCATTTTCATTCAAATTATTTCTTCATCCATTTTCATAATTTTATAAAATTAATAATACTACAGCTGGAAGATAAAATTATAAATAATATATTTTTATCAAATTTTGACCGAAATTTCCTCCAAATCATCAATTTTTGTCTTTAAATCGCAAATAAGTGATAGGAAAAGTAATTTTGATAAAAATAAATTCTCGGTCGAGTATTCAGTAATTATTATTCCGCAAAATTCCTTTATTTATATCACAAGCATAGCTACAAGCTATATACGTATGTATAACTGATATACATTGTTCTTGTTCGTGTGTATATGTAAGCAGCGGTACTTAACTACTACCATATTTTCCGTAAGTTCGTTTCGCTTCTAGCCGTTCTTTACTGGGTAAGCTCGTCGTCGCACATTCGTGCCGGTAATGATTCTAAAAGCATGAACATGCTACCGGCAATCTTAGTGGCGAGGTTCTTCTCCCTTTCCTCCCAACTTCCAGTTCTTTTTCTTTATACTTTCTTGTTTTATTTTTAAGCTTCCTACCCCCCCCCCCCATTTTTTTTACCTCCACTCTCTGTCTTTTACTCGTTTGCGTTTTCATGTAATTGGACCTTTGCTCTCGACTCACAGAACTCTTTCTATACCCAAGAACTCTTACTCGTTGGTAGCAGACCTCTTGAGAGGAACAACTGAGAAGATTACGGAAACTGTCGAAGAACATGCTAAAGCTTGAACTTGCTTATAAACTTCCTTTCAGCTATTAATTAATTGTTTGTTGTTAACTACCTTTCCAATAGCCTCTATTTCCTTTGATAAATTATAGTTAGGATTGAACAATTGTGATCATAATTATAATCATGTCCGTCAATACATTTCTTGATATGGTCATTAATTTTTGAACATTGCTATATTAGAAAATTTGATGTCCGTTCAAAATTTTTTTGCTTAAGATTAAAATTTAGTATTTAATTTTTTAATATATAATCAAATTTAATGCACTAAATAATAAGGTATGCTGTAATGGAACAGACGTTGAAGACATTTTCCAATAGCAGCATACTTATAAAGGATAAAATCTCCTTTACCAAGAAAGTTATTCTACAAAGTAAATCAACAATGTACTCACGTTGTGTCATTCACGACAAATAACACAACCAAAAATGCAGTTACTTCTCCGACGGTAATATATTAACTTGAACTTGAAATCCATCGTTTACTTCAAAGGATATTCGATCTCATGCGCAACAGAATGGAAACTTTCATTTCTTTGTCGGGGAAAATCTCAAAAGGCGCTTTCGATAACTTTTTTTATTTAATCAAACGTGAAAAATCTTTGTTGACGAACAAAAAATTTAGTTTGTCGAAGTTTTTAACTTTTTTTTATACTCACAAAGATTTATAGATACGAAACATTTTTTCTTCTACGTAACTTTTCTTCTTTTTTTAACATAGATCGATTGATATTTTGATTAAATTAATTTTAATTAAATTTTTGATCGCAGTAATGATTAATTTTATTTACAAAAATTAAAAAAAAAAATTTATTTTATTTAAGATATTTATAAATTAATTTTTTTTTTATTAAATTAATTTTTTTATTAAATTAATTTTTTTATTAATTAAGATCAAAATTTTAATTTAAATATAAAAATATCAGGAATCAAATTTTTTCTCTTTTTTAAGTCAAAAACATAATTCATTTTTTTTTTTTAATTAATACTTATGTTTCAAAAATTTGGCTATAAAAAATTGATTAAAAAAAAATTGTTTTTTTATTTTTACGGCGCATTTTTCAATGTTATGTAAAAAAATCAAATTTTTTATCGAATTTAAAATTTTAATACTTAATTAAACTATGAGTTATTAATTTATGTTTTTTTTAATAAAAATAAAAATAATTTTCTAATTTTTTATGATAAAAAATAAGTGGAGTCACTTTGGTATGATTGCTAACCTATTATATCTTACAAAAATAAATCTTGTCTTATTTATAGTAAAAAATGTAAATATATAATTATTTACATTTATATTTTTAAAAGATACAATCATTAAAGTAATATATTTTTGATAGCTTCTGACAAAGAATTATGTGTAGTGAGCTTTTGTTTCCACTATTTGTATTGTTTATTTTCAGTGACATAAAATCAGAGATAAACATTAAAACATGTCGTGTTTCTTATGGAAACATCGGGCGTAATGAACGGTGAATTGTGCAAGTACCATTATAAAACGCGAGTGGGCTTATCTACGTCAAGCACGCTACGGTCCCCAATGAGCTTTTTCAATTCATTTTATTTACAATTTCAAATTAATATGACCACTATACTGTACTAATAAATGTAAATTATGAGAATTCATTACACCCCCTATTACCCAGAATGTCTATCCCGCAAAATACATATTTATATAGATGCATAGACATTATATCATATAGATACCCACAAGCAACCGTGATTACGTAATTTAATGATACCTCAATTGTCCCGTGTTTTTTTATGCTAAATTATTTTCTACAGCAAAAGTATGATAATTTTTTATCATCACTATAAAATGATTTTATCTTTGAATAATAACCATTTCATTACCGGAGCGAGTAAAATTTTAATTACCGCGCTATTATTATATTAAACTACGCGATCAAATAACTTTAATTATTTTTAATAAATTCCGGATTATTTTAAACAGCCGCTTGTTTAATATCTCATAAACTTTTGGATAAAATGTTTGTTCTCGGCTCTGGAAATTAACCTTTCAGTTGCCAGAAGATTCTTTCAGTTTGTTGATTTGATTGAGAAAAGTAGTCTTCTCAAATGAACGTTTTTTTTTTAAATTAAAGTTCTTTGAGTTTGTTGGAAGGCTTTTGCCTTTCGGGTGAATGTTTACATTACAGAATTTAAAGGTTTGATTTGACAACACTGCTAGAAACAGAATACTCAAAAGATAATGTAATTCAACAAAAAATAAAGGAATCAAGAGAAGAAACTTTGTGTATAGTAGCTTGATAGTGGAAATAGTTTTAATTACATTCTATTTGAAATAGCTAAATTATGCTATACAAAAAGTAAAAAAATTACTAACTACAGTTATCCAATTTTTCAATAAATTTTTGAATTAAAATTAGTTTGATAGTTTATTAGACCGAAATAATTATTTATTTATTTTTTATTTAATGGAAAAATAATGAATTCGTATCTTGGGATTTTTTTATTAATAATATAAATAAAATCTGTCTCAATTAAATCAATTAAAAATATTCTATTCCACAAATATTTTATAGGGTATCATAAAGTTATTGCACACCTTATAAGCGAAGCGTTGAGGTAGTGCTCTATTTTCGACATTTCAAAAAAGCAATTCTCGAAACAGAAATTGATTTTTTATTATTTATATCGCACTTACAGGTTAATCTGAGTGTACTAATATCAAGTCAAATAATTTGTCAGGCACATAAAATATATCGACGTTCTAATTAGCAAATTGTCTAACTCCATTTTAGAGAATCTTCCATTTGTACGAAGAAAACAATTAGTTCAAAGTTTAGGACTTTCTCAATTAATATGACCGTTCAATTCACTGTCGTTAAATTATTATTTATAAAAAACTAATATATGTGTATTTTTTTGTATATCTATCTACACATTTTATTATAGTATTTTTTTTCCTCACCTTAGAATTATGGCGCCACTAAACTTAGATTTATTGTAAAAACTGAGATTACGAGGCGTGCACTTTTGGATTTTCCAAACTTGTATATTAAATAAAAATCTGTTTAAAAATTACAGATAAGATAACCTTTTAGATTAGTAGAAAAAAATAATTTTTGTTTTACAATTAAATACTTAAAACTTAACTCTCTTGTAGGGAGATAATTCAGCGATCATGCGCCCTCTGTTGGAAATTTTCAACACTACTTCCGATCCAAAAATTATATGACATATGGGAAAATATTAGGACTAAAAATTATTTCTGTCCTAATTATTTATAAAATAAGAGTAAAAATATCAAAAGAATATTTTTGTTGGATCAAAAAATTTTCTTTCAATGTAATTGTATCTATATCTGACAAATACAATAAATTTATCAAAAGATTTTAACGTAATTTGTGATTACCGCGAACACGGATAGTGGATCGATGTAAAAAGTGTAGTAAAAAAAAGTGATCTGAAATCCAATTTCAAAGATGAGTCTCTTGAGACACGTTAAGATGCGGTATGAGAGTAAATGCGATTGAGAATGAATGTGTGTATGTATGTGATCTAGATTCCTGGGTCTTCGTGCACTGGTTCCCGTTTCAATTGCTCTGTCAACTATACGGCGGATCTATCATCGTATAATACATAGGTACTAGGATATATGCAAATTTTTTCATTACTTATTTTTATTTGAAAACGTGTGCCGCATAAAACGGCTTTTTATCTTAATATCAATTTATTTTATAGATTACGATCTTTTATTTCTCCGAATTAGGTGGAACTTTTTTTTTTTTTATAAAGTAAACAAAGAGTTTCATAATACCTAAATTTGCTCATATCAGTTATGTCATCTAAATTCTGCTAGAAAATCTAGAACAAAAATGACAATAATAATTTCTTTTATTATTATCACTCTGATTACTGCATACTTCACAGCCGAAGTGAAGAATGTTCTAGTTTTTTTTAAATCAGGGTCGTTAACTTTCAAGCAAAAAAAGATCATTTATTTGAGCTTAAGCCATAAAATTTTGATTGGAGAGAAATAATAGTACAATTTTTTTGTCACCTTTTACTATTTTCATAAATGAAAAATTTTTAATTACAAATATATAAATAATTTTAAAAAAAATCAATTTTTTTTTATTAAATTTTTCAAGAGGTTGAAAAATTAGTTGCTCAAAAATTTTTTTTTTTTAATACTGCCAAAACTTCAAACAAGGAATTTATGTTAACAACTTTTGTTGATTAACAGGGTATATATATGTAATTAAATCGATTGATAATTAAATCTCTAGATAGCGATATACCTCGAGTTGAGAAGAGAGATCTAGTGTAATGAGATAAAGTTTGCAAACCATTTAATTAGTGCTACTTCAATTAGTAACGTGAGAAGCCGAATAAAGGATCTCTGTTTACTTAAGCGCCCCAAATACAATTTATTAATGGATTTCAATTATCATTGAAATAATTAAATATCTCTTCTCTTCTAAAGGCCTAATATATTTTGAGTATGAGGCAGGATATCAATAAGTTGGTGACCGTCATTTATTTCTCATGCAATATTTTATCCTAGTAATACTTTCTCATGGGAAAAATTTTTTTCTCATACCAAAACTTCTCATTGTTCATAATTTAGATTATTAATTATATTATTTGGCTTATATTAAAATTTTTGTTTTTAATATTTATATTCAAAAATGTGTCATAATGTTATAATTAAATTTGCAATTGATATTAAATAAATATTAAATTTTTCCGGATTATTAAAGACGGTGAGCTCATATTTTAATTATTTTTTATTCTCGTAGTTTAATAATTAAAAAAAAATTGTTCGGACAATGATTTCATGTCTCAAAAATTTTTTTTAAATGAACCTTTTTCAATTTAATGACAAACAAATTCCGTAAAAAATTTTATTTGAATTAACCGAATATTGTCTTAATTATTTCGACCAATTTCTCAAATAAAAAAAAAAATATACTGTTGAAAATTCGATAAATGGAGACTTTTTTAAACTGCTATCGTAAGA